AACTCCAGGTTCAGAAGACCAGTGAGACACCCGACAACTTCTGGGAGGAGCTGAGGAAGCAGGTGTCCCCACAGAGAAGGCAGGGCAACGGAAGTACTGTCCTGGCTGTTACTGCAACCGTATTTTTACCCCTGGGCTGCTGTGTCCTTGGAAACACAACTCCCTATACACAGGCCCCTGTAAAACTGAGTAGTATTTTGATCTTCATCCCTTTCTTCACAGCTCTTCTTTGTGCTCCATCAGTTCCCAGTGTCTTTCGAGACTGAATTCTCTTTCTAGCTCTCAGGCAGATTTCAGCATGCCCTCTGCTGTCTTCCCAGGACTTGTTCCTATCTCTTTTATAGCACGTATTCCATTTTGTCATAGTTTCCTATTTTTGTGTCTCCACTGGAAGGTTGAAACCCAGAGGGCAGAGGGCACAGTCTATCTATTTCTGAACCCCTAGCATCTTATACTAGATTTGGCACTTATTAAGCATCACTAAACATTTGCAGAATGAGTTAAATAACCTGTCTGGTGTGCTCCCTCCCTCCAGCCCCTCTCCAAAGGACCCCAGTGACCCCTGAGGAACTCATGATGTCCAGTGTCTTGTGGTAGTTGTCCTACAAGCCTCCATGCATTTACTCCTGCCACAATCATTTAGTGAGGACCTGCTCTGTTTGTCTCACTCTGGGATCTAGGAATGTGACAGCCAGCAGAACAGACACAGAGCTTGTGTTCCAACAGAGGGTAAACAAAGTCCAAAATGGTGAGACACGCTTAGTAGGAGAAAGTTGTGGGACTGTGGTAGAGGAGCACCTTTCAAGAGGCAGCATGCAGACTACATCTAGAGGAGTGGTGCTAAGCCAGCCAAAGGGGCTATTCTCCAGATAGGGGGCAGAGCAAGTGCAAAGGGAGCCCAGGTGGGGCCGGGGTGGAGCTGGAGAGTCAGGCAAGGTCATGATGAGCCTACAGGTTGTGGTGGAAGAGTGGACTTCATCCTGGGGAATTAGACACCTCTGAACTTCACCTGAAGTCTGTCTCAGCCACATTTACAAGAGCAGTGTGGCTGCTGTGAAGAGAATGGATGGAAGAGGCGGAACAGGGCAGCTCTTTTCCTCTACTCCACACTGACTACTCACGTCAAACACTCCTGTGACCAGATGTGCAGCTGATTTCCCCACATCAAGCAATTCCAGACACCAACTGAGTCTCCTACCATCTAACTCAATTCTGACATCGACCTGGAGATGGCACCAGATCCGAAGGATAAGGACTCGGTCCTGTAAGACTGCCTCCCCTCCACCCCCACCCCTACTTCAGATGCCAGTTACAAGCCCAGGCTGTCATCAGTGCTTCAGTTGTTGCTAGAGCAGCTCACAGAACTCAGGAAAAGTTTACTTACCGTTACTGATTTGTCACAAAGGATATGAACCAACAGTAAATGAAAGAGGTGCACAGGGTGAGGTCTGGAAGGGGCTTGAGCACAGGAGC